CCACCCAGTTGCCCAGTGCTGAATGGACAATCCCATGTCAGCCTCTCTACAGAGAGGCCCAGACCCCCTCAGCCCATTCCACAGTGACAACATGCCCCCCTCATCCCCATGCCCCAGGATAGCCCACACTGTGCCCAGCCAGAGCCGCTTCTGCTCCCAAGATGTGAGGGATGAACGGGGTCGGAGTTTTGATGGGCACGTGCCTGGCACCCAGCTGACCCAGGTTCGATTCTCAGCTTCCCATATGGTTCCTTGAGCACCGCCAGGAGTAATTCCTGAGTGCAGAGCCAGAAATAACCCCTGAGCACCACCAGATGTGACTCCAAAATCAAAAAAAAAATTTAAATATTTTTTTTAAAAAGGCACGGATGAGTAGGGGAGGGGGCTGAAGATATCATGGCTTTGAAAACATCATGAAGTTTGGGGGCCGGGAGCGAATCACGGCTGTTAGACCCCGCGAAGAGCAGATGGCATCTCTGGGGGAAGCTGTGTCCATTCCGGACTGGCCCACATCCCCGGGCTCCATGAGGTGGACCCACTTAGGACTCACAGGCCTACAAGAGACGCACTTCCTACTTCCTAGTGGCAGACGTTTGGTGCTGAGACGACCCTTCCCCACACTGCTCGGGGGCTTGGCCTTTGATGAGGCGCTCGGCCCCATTCCCACAGCTGGGAGATTTGTGGGCCGCTGGGAAGTCACCTGGGGGCACACTTGAGCTCTCTGAAAAAAATAGCCACATGGAAGAGGTTGTCTACCGGGCCAGGAAACTTCAGGCCATGGCCATAACCAGCCTCCATCAGAGGGGATTTGCGCCGGTCACTGAGAGCAGTTGCCTCGGAAGGGACCCAGGCCTGGGCTGTGATCTGTGGGCCTTCATCAGGACAGCTCGGCACCTCAGAGCAGCTTGCAGGCCTTGGGTCCCCCCTTTGGTAAGTGGGGATGATGTTGAAGGGGAGGACGCATTGATGAGGATTAAACAAGGTCAAAGAGTCAGTGTTCTTCGGGGAGCACTCAACACCTGTGAGAACCTTAGGGGAGCACTCAACACCCATGAGAACCTTAGGGAAGCACTCAGCACCCATGAGAACCTTAGGGGAGCACATAGCACCTGCAAGAATCTTAGGGGAGCACTCAATGCCTGTGAGAATCTTAGGGGAGCACCAGGCGCCTGTGAGAATCTTTGGGGAGCACCCGGAGCCTGTGTGAATCTTCAGGGAGTACCAGGTGCCTAAGAGAATCTTAGGGGAGTACTCAATGTGCACGAGAGTGTTAGGGGAGCACCTGACCCACGTGAGACCCTTAGAGCCCATCTCAGAGACCGCACAGGGTTTGTTTGTGGAGATTTGGAGGGGGCACCACCCCTGCCCTGCCACCATGCCTGCTGGCTTCCTCTGGCTGGATGTGAGTGACCATTAGATGTGTGTGGAGTGAAGGGCACCTCATGTCCTCCCTTTATCTCCAGTCTGAAGGAGTGAAAGGCCTTGAAAAGGAGAAAGGACCGTGTCACATGTCCCTGTCCCTGGACACACATTGTTGGATGAAGTGGGTTTCATGATTCCGTCAGTTCTGACCAGGACACTGGTCATTCATTCGCTTATCCTTTCCCTTGCCTGTGCTCGCTCACCCTGTGTGTGGTGTGACAGTGTGTGTGTGTGTGTGTGTGTGTGTGTGTGTGTGTCTGTGTGTCTGTGCAGGTGCATAGAAAGGTGTGTCCGGGCATGTGTGCAAGTGTGTGGAAAGGTGTGTGTGTCCATGTATGTAGAGGCGCATGGAAAGAGGTGTCTATCCATGTGTGTGCAGGTGCGTGGAAATGTGTGTCTGTCCGTGTGTGTGTGCAGGTGCATGTGCAGCTGTGTCCGTGCACATGTGCAGGTGTGTGGAAGGGGTTGTGTGTGTGCAGGTGCATGGAACTCCATCAGCACAGCACACAGCTGTGATCAGTAGCCTCTCTTCCCCAGGAGGATGGCTTATGAGCATACCCCGACACCCCGCCGTGAGTCTGCACACCCCACTGAGTGAAAGGACACATCTGGGGCTCTGCGTACAGCGCATGCGCCTTCCGTGGCGGCGTCTTTGCGCGGACAGGAGCTGCCTGCCAAGCTCTCTTGCTCTCGTGGGTGCTGGGGAGTTCTCGCCACACTGGATCCAACCTGCCGCTCACCTGTCTCGGGGAGTTCATTCCGCGGCTGTGGCGCCCAGCCTCGGGCAGCGCTGCAGCCTTGGGGATTTCAGAACCTTGCCGTCTGCTGCCTCACAGCGTCAGGCCCTCTCTCTGCCTCCTTCTCTTTACTGCCTGTGAGTGTTTCATCCATTAGGACTTTTGCCAAGTGCAAGTAGGATAAGATCCATCCCGAACCCGCCAACACCATGGAAGGGGCTGGGAGAAGGCTGGGTGGCTCCGGTTTCCTCCTCTCCTGCCATCCTCTCCCAGGGGTTCCCCCAGGTCCCAAGCATGACCCTGAAGTCCCGGATAGCCCCAAATACACCAGCGATGCCAACAGTGCCAACAGCCAGCTATGTGTGAGCACTGAGAGGGGGGCAACCCCAGCACACCCCACAGTCAAGCCCCAACCATGGCCATGTGAGCAGAGGAGGAAAGGGGGAAGACTGTGGTTTATGGACTTCACTAGAAAATGCAGGTGTGGGGGACTGGAGCAATAGCACAGCGGGTAGGGCGTTTGCCTTGCACATGGCCAACCCGGGTTCAATTCCCAGCATCCCATAGGGTCCCCTGAGCACCGCCAGGGGTGATTCCTGAGTGCAGAGCCAGGAGTAACCCCTGTGCATCGCCGGGTGTGACCCAAAAAAGAAAAAAATAATAAAGAAAAGAAAATGCAGGTGTGGCAGGCTTCAGGCATGGCTGGATCCAGGGCTCCACGACAACAAACCAGCCGAGCTCCTTTCTGCCTCCCCGCTGGGCACAGCCACGTCCTCAGGGAGGCTGCGTGGCCTGTTGAACCCCACGACATCCTGAGATTGCTTCTCCTTAGATAGGCTGGGATCCGACACAACCCGGAAGCATCTCTCAGAGAGGTGGGGAGTGTGTTGCATTGATTGGTCCGGGCTGGTCGCAGACTCCCTCCCTGTACCGTGTCCAGTAGGACGGGGATAACTGGCCCTCATTGACCTCCCAGGACTCAGTATCCGTGGGAACCTCGCCAGTGCATCTCCTGAGTGGCACACCCATGGGTCTGGGAGCCCTTCCTGTGGAGATTCTAGCACGGGACTAGAACATTGCGCTGGGTCTGGGGGTCCACTGGGACCCCCGATCTGCTTTGTGGTTTCGATCGTGTCTCTCTTCTGCTTAAAAACCTCTTCCTATGGCTCTCTGTTACCGCCAGAAACAAATCCCAGGGCCTCGCCAGGACACCCCAGCACACCCCAGCCTCACTGTGACCTTTCTGCCAAGCCCCCAGCGTGATTCAGCCCCCAAAGACCTCGTCTTTTCCACTGACACCTCCTTTCTGAAGCCCTCCAGGATTAATTCTCCACATACCCACAATGAACAGATAGCTGTGCCCAGCGTGGGCGCGGTTTAGAGCCTCACGAGACTGCGGCTGGGCTGCTATTCCCGCATGATGAACATCTTTCTCCACTGGCCTCCATGAATCCGCACCCTAGAGCTGCCTCCTCAGCACCATTGCTGCCCCTCTGGGCCCCTCAGGCCCCCCGCCTCGGCCCCAATCTTCCCGCTCCCGTGACCGAGACACAGCAACCGCAAACCTCTCTGAAATAGCATTCTCGGGCAGGCGGGTTGTTTTATGACCGTTAAATATGCTTTACGCTACCTGTGAATGAGGCCGCTGTGACATTTAGCAACTAATTTGATTCAACACAGATGTGGGCCGAACGCCACGTGGAGCCAAGCAGGAGGGTGGGCTCGGGGCGGGGGGGGGGGAGGGGGGGGAGGGCACGGCCACATTGTTTCTGAGGATGCAAGATGGACCAGACAGTGGTCAGGGGCAGGCAGCCGTGGATGAGTGTCCTGCCCTCGCCAAGCCAAGACCCCGGTCCCCTCGGTGTCTCTTTAGGACGTGCCCCATGGTCCTCTTTTTTTTATTGAATCACCATGAAATGCAGTTACAAAGATTTCATATTTGAATTTCAGCCATACAGTGATCGAACGCCCATCCCTCCACCACTGCACATTTTCCACCACCCACCTCCCAGTCCTCACCCTGCCTCTGTGGCAGACAGTTTCCCCAATACTCTCTCTCTAATCATGGGCATTATGTTTTGCTCGAAATTTCCCACCACCATTCAAGCCTGCCTGCCAGGGAAGATGCTAGATCATTTCTTTTCCATTGCTCATTTTGCATATCATGAGAGGATACGTGTCTGCTTTCGAGGCCACACACTTCTGGAATCCTAAGATTGTCAGCGGTTGGGTTCCAGAGCATCTCTGTAGGGAGCTAACCCATTTTGGGATTCAACTGGGAGTTTCTGGACCCAGGCTATTGGTGTGCCAAGATGGTGCCCGGAGGCGGGTTGTGGGCGTGACATCTGGCATCAGGAGCGGATGGGGACCCGGGGAGGGACAGCCCAACTTGGCTGCCACCATGCGGCTTGGAGACTTAGTTCTGGAACCCGCATACCTGGGCCCTGCTTACAGAAGCTCTTGGTCACCAGGATTCCATCTGGAGTAGGCGGGGAAACTGCACCTGCTCCATCTGGGGTGCCTGGTAAAATTGGCTCTTAATGTGACCTGGAGAAAACTCCAGCACTGTGGTACCTTTGGGACTCGCTGCTGCTGTGTCTCTGGACCCAGGTTGTTGGTGTGTGGTCCTCTTTGTGCTGTTTTACCTTCACAGATACTTTTACTCCCGCCAGTGTTTTTATCTGGCGGATCAACGAAATACCATCAGCCTGGGATAAAAGTGCCTTGAGAGCACCGGGCTTGGAAGAAGTTGAGTGACGGGCCAGGGTCCCCGGCTCCCTGTCTGCCAGACCCCCGCCCTGGCGGAGAGAGACTCACTGGCACTTGTTCCCCTTCCTCTAGGCACAGCCGGGATCTACCAAGGAGCCAACGGGCTGGCCAACGCCGCGGGGTTCGGAAGCGTACACCAGGTTTACACCCCACCCGCCCCACCCCCTTTCTGATCCCGCCCAAACCCCCTCCCACAATGCCCACTTCCAAACCCTGGGGTTTGGAGACCCCCAGGGCCTAGGGGAGCCAGAGGGGAGAGGCACAGAAGGGGGATTAAGTGGGTTCCGGGACAGGGCGGGGTGGGTGACCTCGTAGATTCTATCTGGGGCCACAGAGGGTCCTTCGTCTCAGCTCAGGTTGGGGTGACTAGGAAGCAAGACCGAGAGACCCCGGGACAGCTCCCAGCTTCTCCTTCGCACCCCAAGGCTGAGGGCCAGGCACACGATGTGGGGACCCACCCTTGCTTGAACCCCATCATTGCAGGGAGGGGCGCTGACTGACCATTGGGGTCTCTTGGCTCAGCTCAGAGGAACTGTCTCTCCCGGGGCTGCGGGAACTCTGGCCCCCGCTCTGACCTCACAGCCCCGTCCGTGTCCCCCCCTCCTGCCCCCCCCCCGCAGGAGTACCCGTCCTACGCCGGCTTCCCGCAGAGCCAGTACTCGCAGTATTACAGCCCATCCTTCAGCCCGCCCTACGTCCCAGCCGCCAGCATCTGCCCGTCCTCCCCGCTCGCCCCGTCCGCGTACGCGCTCCAGGAGGCCGCACACGCCAGCGCCAACCAGGGCTCCGAGTCGCTCACGGGTAGGTCTGGTCCCCATCATAGCCCCCCGCTGCCTCCCCGCCATGGGTGTGTCTGAGCTCTGAGAGGAGGAGGGAGGGGTCGGGTCCGACTATGGTGGACTGGCCTCCCTCCCCAAAACCGAGTCCAGCATCTAGACGTGCTTCGTTGGCCTTCGTGTGTGTCTGGTTGCAGCTGAATTGAAGGAGAAATCGCTGCTGATAGATAAAAGAGAAAGGCTGGCCTCCAAACGCTCAGGTCTGCTTCTCTTGAAAGATCCTCATTCTGGGGACCGGAGCGACAGCACAAAGAGGAGGGTGCTTACCTTGCACCTGGCTGCCCCAGGTTCAATCTCCTGCGCCCCATATGGTCCCCCGGGCATTTCCGGGACTGACTAGTGAGCATAGAGCCAGGAGGAATCCCTGAGCACTGCTAGGTGTGGCCCAGGAACCAAAGAGAGAGGGAAAGGGGGAGAGAGAGAGAGAGGAGAGAGAGAGAGAGAGAGAGAGAGATTCCAATTCAAGCCAAGTCAAGCAATAAAGGCATTTTCAGGCGAGTTTTGGGTAACCGAGAGGCGGTACAGGGCTTCAGGCTGGGGCTCAGCGGGAGCACTGCACTGACCTCCCCCTTCCTTCAGCTCTGCTCTGTTCTGGCTTCATGTCACTCTGCAGCCCGCTCTTCCTCATGTGGCAGAAGTGTCCAGGGTCCCCCGATGTGGAGTGGAGAGCTCTCCTAAAGGTGCTCCTTGTAGGAGCCTCAGGGCTTCACTCGGGTCTCCAGCCTGTCAAGAGCTGGTCTCATGACCACAGCTCAAGGAGAGGGAGTTTCCCAAAGAAACCCAGAGCCTTGGAACAGAAGACAGAGAGAGGCCGGGCTGGCAGGAATCCGGCCCTGCCTCCATGAAGCTAGGATCCACGGCAGGAACTGTCCTGGCCCCCGTGACGTGCGTCCATGCACTCAGCAGCCGGTGGCCCGTTCACTCCCTCTGCACACGCTTCTCTCTAATGAGGTTTGGGCTCACCGACAAACCGGCTGCCGCTGCTTAGAACATCCAAATGTGAAGGAAATAGCTCTATGTTGGATTCTTTTCTTCTTTTCTGAAACCAACTGATATTCTGGGACTTTGAGAAGCTGAGTTAAGACGATGAGCTGTAGGGGCAGGTGCGATAGTCCAGCGGGGAGGGCGTTTGCTTTGCATGCAGTGGACCCAGGTTCAATCCCCGGCATCCCATATGGTCCCCTAGCACTGCCAGGAATAATTCCTGAGTGCAGAGCCAGGAGTAACCCCTGAGCATCGCTGAGAGTGACCCAAAAAAAAGACAAAACAAAAAAATATTTGATAAACTGTGAAGGTGGGTGGACATGCACTTACTGTATTTTCATTGGTGGAGCAGCTAAAAACAAGAGTGATACCTGAAACTTCCTAACTCTATGGTGCCATAGTACTTCAATTAAAACAAAATTTTTGTGGAGATAAAAAACAGTAGTGGAGATCCACCTCCTTTGTTCCTGGGGCTCTTAATACAGCTGTGGCTTTTCGCCCCTTTCTTTCCCTGAGTGAAAGTGAGTTATTCTTGGGGAAAAATGAAGGCACCATGGCCAGGCTTTTTCAAGTCAGCATGGGAAAGAGCTTCTGCACTGACTTTGGTCACTGTGATCTCATCGCCGAGGACTTGACAAATGCATCTTACCTTTTAATCGTTTCCAAATTGCTTGCTTGGCAGAGCAATGTAGCAAACTTTGTCATAATCATGAATTATCTTTGACCATCCTGCTTTCCCGAATGTGGTCTCTCCACACTGAGAAAGCCAGAAACACATACAGAGAGGGAGAGAGAGAGAGAGAGAAAGAGAGAGAGAGAGAGATGCTACATCTCTATAAATATGACAGTGAACTGAATTCCAAAGAATTTGGGCTATGTGGGAAAACCTTCTTCGCTCACCATCAGGGTTGAACATAAAGGCTCATTGTGTCTCTTTGAAATTTGTCTTTATTGTTTCCCCCTGTTCTTCATTTATCCCTTGGTCCAGGGTTCAACAATAAGTGGTTGAGATGGTTTTTACTGCACGGTTAACAAGCTCACATAAAATCTAATGGCATAAATAATTGTCAGCTATAACTGAACCCTCTTGCCTCTTTTCCCCAGTGTGTGTTATAAAGGAAGGGCATATTAGCCTGCACGCACACACACCCATGCACTCTCTTAAAAAAAATTCCCATAAAAACTCCACTTTTGAAATTATCCAGAATCTCCTTGAGTGGTTGGCTTCAAACTCCAGAGGCTCCCAAGGTTTATATGTTGCCAACAGATCATGCTTACTCTCTCCCTGTCAGATACTCTCTCTCTGCACTCAGCCCCAGGCCCCCAAGTACAGTCTGGCTTTGACGTGCATTAGCAATTAGACGAAACTCCAACAATTTGCAGCTAATTATGGGACAATTTGCTGGTATAGAGGTCAGAATCTGAACAGCTGATGTTACCCGAGGGGAAAAAATCAGTTGTGGTTGCTTAAGGACGTTTTTCTCTTAAAATATTAAAGCACCACACAAGTATCTATAAAGAAGATGTTTTTTAATCTCTTAGATTATTTCCCTTAGTCAATCAATGGAGAATTATTTTAATTCTTTTCATCTCTCTGTAAAAGTTATTTGGAAAGCTTTTCTAGGTCATTTGGCGACATCTAATAATATTTTAAATGTAGGTCTTGGTTAGACCAATTTTTCTACTTCTAGGAATTGGTCTGACCAATTTCCACCAAGGTACAAAGACTTAACTTATCAAGAATGTTCACTGCAGGATTGCTGAGGGCAAAAGATTGGAAACAACCTGAATCTCCAGTAGAGGAGGTCAGGTTTGTGAGTCATGCACCAGTGCTATCTGTGACATCCATGAAAAAGAGTCAGGTAAGGAGGTCCGAGCAAAAGGACAGTGGGGAGGGCACTTGCCTTGCATGCTGTTGACCCCGGTTCGATCCCTGACATTGCCTATGGTCGGTCTCCTGAACACTGCCAGAAGTGATTCCTGAGCACAGAGCCAGGAGGAAGCCTGAAGCACCACTCGGTGGGCTTTCCTTTTTTCTTTGTTTTTCCCCCAAACCAAAAAAAAAGAGGAAAAAAGTCAGGTGTACTGATACAGAAACTCTTTGAGCTGATGTGATGAGTTTCAGAAACATCCTGAGTTTTTTTTTTTGAGGGGGGGGGAATGAAAGGGGCAGTGTGGCAGTGCTCAGGGGTTACTCCTGGATCAGTGCTCAGGGGTTACTCCTGGATCAGTGCTCAGGTGTTACTCCTGGATCAGTGCTCAGGGGTTACTCCTGGGTCAGTGCTCATGAATTACTCCTGGGTCAGTGCTCAGGAATTACTTCTGGCCGTGCTTGGGGGGACCATATGGAATTCTAGGAATCAAACCTGGGTCGGCTGCAAGCAAGGCTAATGCCCTACCACTGGACTATCTCTCCTACCCACTCCTGGATCTTTGAAAGTATGGTCTAATACCTTATTTGCATAGGGACTATCTGGAAGAACACAGATGCGGTTGTTACAAGTGGTCTTCTCTGACTAGAGCCATAGGAAAAATCAAGCAGCTTCGGACAATCACTTGATCACACAACAACGGCAGGATGGGATATTTACCATACAGGCATATTCTGAACCATCAGTCAAATCTCTTACCTGTTAAAGGATTCAACACATGAAGAGTCATGTTCTCTGAAAGTATAAAACTAAATTAGAAATGGGTCACAGGGATTTCTGGAGAATCTCCGATTACTTCCATCACTTCTTAATACCCCTTGTGTACAGTTAGTTTCAGAGGATAACTTAACCAGGCTAGAGAATGTCCTGATTGCTAATCAAATCTGAATTCTGGTTGTGGCCAAATAAGGATCTGCAGAGTCAGTGGACGGAGTAGAGTGGCTTGGCCCACCCAGTGTGTGGGCACCATCCAGACTGTGCACACAAAAAAGGCAGGAAAAGGGAGAGCTCTTCCCAGCTGGCACATCCATCCATCATGAGCAAATACTGGCATTCCTCGTTCCCTGGTCCTCTTGGTCCAGCCCTCAGCCTGTGAATCACAGCATTGCCTCTCCTGTTCCACCGGCCTTTCAGTTCAGAGAGAATTTTACCGGTCACTTTACTGGTTCTTCTGCTTAAAGACTATAAATTGTGGGATTTCTCAATTTTCATCATTGCATGAGCTAATTCCTGTAACTAATTAGTTGAGCCTGACAGTTCTGATTCTCTGGAGAAACTGAACACACCAAAGATCAAAAGGGGAAACATCAAAGAGAAATAAGTAGGATTGTGAAGTTAATGAAAATTAAAACACAACATATCAAAACTTATGGCGTGTTGCAAATGCAGATCTAAAAGGGACATTTACAGCACTAAATGGCTATATGAGGGGGAGAAATGTTTTCAAACCAAAGATCTTGTCTTCCACATTAAGAAACTAAAAAAGGAAGAGAGAATTATACCTGAAATAAGCAGAAGAGGAGTATACTATGATCAGAATGGAATGCAATAAAATCTAAAAATACAAAAGCAATAGAAGAAAAGTAGGTGAGACAAAAAACTGTGTCTTTAAGAAGATCACTAAAATTGACAGAACTCTATACAGGATAATATGTTGGTGGGAAAGCCATAGAATGAAAAAAATACAAATTACCAACATGATGAGAGATAATATCATTACAGACCCTACAGATATTAAAAGGATATTTTTAGAAACAACATTATGGCCACAGCTTAAATGAAATGTACAAATTACTTATAGGACAAAACTTTCCAAAGTCTACTCAAGAATAAAGATAGCCTAAATAGGGCCTGAGTCTAATAAATAGGGTTTTTTTTTTTTTACTGAAAACCTTTGAACAAAAATATTTTACCTAAAAGTCTTCTCTGCTTAATTCTATCAGGAATTTAAGAAATATGAACCTACATGAATTCTTCAAGAAAATTGAACAAAGCACACTCCTCAACAAACTCTGAGACCAACATTACCCTGATGTCAAAGCCAGACAAAAACATTACAAGAAAACTACAGACAAACATCCCTCATAAAGATATAAAATTTCTTTTAAAAAAAAACAGCATATTAAGTTCAACAATATATTAAATAAGAAGTAGGGTTTATCAAAAAATTTAAAAATTTTTAATCAGTGTAATTTTTCAAACTAATTAATCCCTGGAAACCAAAATAAAAAGAACATCATCTCAATAGATACAGGAAAATAATGTGACAAAATTGTATCTATCTCTGATTTAAAAAAAAAAACACATTTCAAACTAGTAGTAAGGAAGTTCCTTTGTCCAAAAGGAACTACTGGGTGTTTGGTACCCCCAGAATTCTTATGTTGATGCTTTAATTTCCCGTGTATTCAAGATGGCATTTGGAGGCGGGTGTTGGGGGTAATAATCAAGTCATGAGGGTGGAGCCTCATCAATGAGATCAATGACCCTATAGGGAAACACATACGAATTATTCTCTCTATCTCTCTCACACACACACTCTCTCTCTCTTTTGCTCTTTCTTCTCCTTCTCCCTCTTCTTTTCTCCCCTGTTCCTTTTCCCTATTCCCCTTCCCATCTTAGCCTCCCTCTCTGTCTCCCTCAACCTTTGCATCTCTCTCCATCCCTCCACTCCAGCTTATGCCCATACAGTAAAGCGCTGTCTATCATCCATCCAGAAATTGGACTCTTACCAAGAATCAAATTAGCCAGCCTTTTGACCTTGGACTTCCATTCTCTGGAACTGTGAAACTTAAGTGTCTTTGTGTCATCCAGCTGCTCTGTGATATTTTTATTATAATGGCCCAACTGATTAAAACAAGATGACTACAAAAACCTTTAGTTACCCCTAAAATCCTATAAAAGGTAAATATATCCACTCAAACCAATTCTATTCAGTGTTGTACAAGAGACTCTAGCCAGTGGAATAAGGCAAGAAAAAAATTAATAACACCGTATTGGGAAAGAAAAGTAAAAACGTAATGAAGTAACAAGTAAAGTGAGTTGTACATTTATTTAAAACATATAATTAAACCCAAATGTGTTTAGAAATGTACAGGTGAAAAAATAAAAATCAAATGCATCTCTAGGTACTAACTATATGCAATAGGAATTTAATATTTTATAATGCCATTTACAATCACATCCCCCCAAAAGTGAAATACTTGGGGTAGCCTGTCTAAAAATATGGAAGATTGGTGCACTTAAAGCTACAAAACACTGCTAAGAGGGGTTAAAGAAGACTTTAATCAGTGGGAGACATGCCCTGTTCACAGACCAGAAGATTTAATATTGTCAGGAGTCACTTCACCATAAATCAATTTATAGATTTAACACAATCTCTGTCAGCAACCAGGACTTTCTGTAGAAATTGGCCAGCATCTGTAAGTTTTGTTCACTGCCTGTTCCTCATCTTTTACAAGACAGCCTTTGCTAGATAGGCGATTAGGAATCACTCATGTGTCTCCTGAAAACGTCAGGGAGTTGGAGACGGCCCGGCTGTCCAGACGACTCAAAATCACATCTTTTCTTATGTTCTTAGTCTGCTAAGAAGTTTTATAAATATTAAATAAACAAAGTGGTGTCCCTTGAGTTTTGGCGGGAAATAGTTCTTCCAGCGTAGGAAGAAAAATCAGTCTACTGCCAAGTATTTTTAGACAAAAGCATTTTCCCTCCCCTGATCCAAAAACGGGGGATTATGGAAGGGGAGAGGGAGGCCAAAGGATGAGTTGGGAGCTGGAGCAAGCATCTGGAACCCGAGAAGGCAGGCTGGGATGTCCCAGAAGGGTCCAGGGGGCTTAGAGGCCTGTCACCCCAGGGATGAGGGAAGGCCCCAAATTCCAGCCCTGACTCCACCAGCCCTGTACAGGCTAACAACAGGCTACATCAGCTTACTAAATCTCAGTTCCCTCATTAGACAGAGATCATACTAATGTCCAGTGGAAGCCAGGTCCATCTAACTTCCATGTTTTATTTTGGGGGCAGCCCACGCCCAGCTATGCAGTGACATGGGTCTCCCAGAGGCAAAACATGTGCTCCAGCCCATTGACCCATGTCTCCGGCCCCAAATATCTGTGTTTGCAAGACAACACAATTTGGATGTAACTTTGAGACCCAAGTCCCAGGAGGGGGCTGGTCCTTCATGAGGTGGGGACACGAGGGAGCCCTATATCCCAGGACTCCACCCAATGGATGAGGCTTTCAGGTGTCTTCTGCCCTGTTGGCCCTCAGGAGATGGAGCATAGAGATGAGGCAGAACTCAATTCGGGTCATATATGGAACGGGGGAGACGGCGCCAGAGGCTGGTGTGCACAGCTTATGTGCTGTAACCCTAGATTCAATGCCCAGCACCTCATGGTATGTTGAGCACTGCCTCCAGCACTGGGCATGGAGTACCCCTGAGCACTTCCATGTGTGCCCCTGACGCCCCCCCCAAAGATAAAAAGAGATATTGACATCTATCAGCCAATCAGGTGATGGATGCAGAAGCATATATCACGGTATCACTGTATCACTGCCATCCTGTTGTTCGTTGATTTACTCGAGCAGGCGCCAGGAACATCTCTATTTCTCCCAGCCCTGAGATTTTAGCAGCCTCTCCTTACTCATCTTTCCCAATGATTGGAGGCTCTTTCAGGGTCAGGGAAGTGATACCTGTTGTAGTTACTGTTTTTGGTATATTGGGTATATTGAATACGCCATGGGGAGCTTGCCAGGCTCTGCCCGTGCGGGCAGGATACTCTCGGTAGCTTGCCAGGCTCTCTCCAAGATATATTTATATATATATATTGAGACCACTCTCCGCACACATGAAGGTACCGGCAGAGGAACAAAGGCATGCGTGTCCCAGGGCTGGGATCTCCAAGCCTACTCAGATCAGGGCTGAGCATCCTCCACCCAGATCCTCCAAATTCCAGTAGGCAGGGGTCACACCCACCAACTGTTCCCCTGGCGCCGTGTAATCCCATCAACGACCAAGACCCAGAGACTATAAAACCCAGCTCCCGGAAGACATCTTATTATCTCATTCCTACTTTGGACAAACTGGCAGGCTACCGAATGTGACCTGCCTACACGGCAGAGTCTGGCAAACTTCCCGTGGCGTACCCAATATATCAAATACCAGTAACAATGATGGGTCTCATTCTCCTAACTCTGAAAGAGCCTTGAATATGGCACATTTTTTAAAATCTCAGGGCTAGGACGAAGGAGACGTTACTGGGGCCTGCTCGAGGCAATCGATGAATAACAGGATGGTCGTGATCGTGATATATATATATATATATATATATATATATATATATAGAGAGAGAGAGAGAGAGAGAAATATATATGTATACATATATATATTTCTCTGTATGATTTGTTGCCTACTGTCTGAATCCCATCAAACATGGTGTGGCAATTATGGAAAATGGGTAGGAATGTCTTATGATATGTCGCAGCCGCACAATCCGGAAAGCTGCCTGGAGCGTGGCAGCAGTTGGGTAGTGGAGGTTGGCTGCCGGGGCCGGGGTCTCTTGGAGTGGGGAGGGTTCTCACCCGCCCCCCTCTGGGGCACCCCAAGTAAAAACAGTGTGGCGCAGAGTCCAGTGGCATGGTTATGGGAGCCTCATTTTATGCTCTCTTCCGGGAGAAGCAGCCATGAGTTCTGGAGGGTGGCCGATGAGGTGATTATCTGGCATATATAATCTCATTTCATTCTCAAAAGAAACCGCATCATTTTTGTTTTGATTTGAGGCCACACCCAGCGATGCTTAGGGCTTACTTCTGACTTTGAACTCAGGAATTACTCCAGAGGGTGCTTGGGGGAACCCTATGGGATGCCAGGCATCAAACTCAGGTTGACCGCACGCAAGGCAGGTGCCCTCCTCACTGTACTATTGCTCCAGCTCCCAGGAAACATATCTCTTCACAAGCAAAGCTTAAAGAAAGTCAGTTTTCAATAACACAGAAGGCTCAGCTAGCACCAAACCGCTGAGCAAATCTGCAGACAATGACTTTAATCACTGTTGTGAGATGCATGTTGTAACAAGCCATATAAAGTAAATTATTTTGTGCCTGCTAGTGGGCCAGGCTTGGGTGTGGGGAGGGCGGTGGGTGGGTAACTGGGGACACTGGTGGAGGGAAGGTCACATGGGTGGTGGGATTGGTGTGGGAACATCGAAGATCTGAGTCAACTGTGTTAGGATCCATTTTGTAAACCACAATGTTTAATAATCTTTTTAAGAAGGCCATTCTTCGGGGAACACAGTGATTGCTTTTCCTGAAAGGGGGACTGTTGGCCAACTAAGCTAGGAGCTACTATGGTAGATGTCCACAGGCCTTTCCACATGGGAGACATTAACAAAACTCCAGGGCTCTTTTGCTGTCATTACATGCTATAATTATGTTCTCGGTGTCCCTCCCCCATGCCTCAGTTCCCTGCTCAGGATTCCCCTTTTCTAAGGGGAATCTCAGGATTCCCCCCACCACCCCCCCGACGAACCCCCTGATAGATCAGTGACCACCAGCACTGGCTGACACCGTGCAAGTCAGGCACACTCTAGGGAACGCATCCTTCAACCCCTCCAGTCCGCAGGCTGGCTCCTGACCTGCCCTTAGATCCAAGGACGCGGACCTGTAGGTTCAACCCTTTGACACTGCAGGCTGGCACGGGTTCGAGCACAGGAAGTGAGTGCCCACGTAGCCAGACGCCCTCGCTCACAGCTCTGTCTCCTCGTTGGAGTCCAGGCGCTCTTCGAGGGTGTTAGTTGGGTGAAAGAACAGCCGTGAGGGGATGTCTGAGGGCTGGGATGGTGACCTTCCAGGATCCTGACCTTCTTGCTCCCCTGGACCAACCCCCCACCATTTGACGGGTGATCCCGATGCAGATTTTCCCAGAAGGACACACTTGGCAAAGCTCCTCATGCGTGTGTCCATCTGTCCATCCTGCCCCAGGTGAATTCAACACACACAACGGGCCTTCCACGCCGGCGAAAGAAGGCGACACAGACAGGCCACACCGGGCCTCCGACGGGAAACTGCGAGGCCGGGCCAAGCGTGGCAGTGACCCCTCCCCGGCAGGGGACAATGAGATCGAGGTAACTCCCGCCCACCCCTGGGAATGACACCAGCTCCAAGTCAAGGGGTCCTAGCCCCTCAGAGAATCAGACCGAGCCACCCAGGATCTTGATGGGGGGTGGAGCTGGGAAATGCTCAGGAAAACCTGGACTTCTGGAAGTTTCTGATTCAGTAGGTCCAGGGTAGGACGTGAAGATTTCTCACGAGCCGATGACTTGGGGATCACAAATCAGAGAGCCTCAGGAACAAGGGACCCCCGCAGCTGGGTGGAAGTGGCTCTTCACGAGGATTAATGAGCCAGAACCTTCTGGAATGGTGTTTACACTGCAGGTGCAAGGAGTCTGGGGCTGGAGCCATAGTACAGCGGGTAGGGTGTTTGCCTTGCACACAGCTGACCCGGATTCAATCTGCAGCATCCCATATGAGCACCACTAGGAGTAATTCCTGAGTTCAGAGCCAGGAGTAATCCCTGTGCATCACCGGGTGAGACAAAAAAAAAAAATTGAAATTCTGAGTCTGGGGCCAGAAAGATAATACAGTGGTTAATGCACTTGCCTTGTCTGTAGCCAACCTGATTCTATCGTCAGCCCTCTCTAGGGTCCCAAAGCACCACCAGGTGTGGGCCCTGAGTGCAGAGAGGAGTAAGCCCTGAGTTTAGCCGTGTGAGGCCCCCAAACCAGCAATTAAAATAAAACACAAAATAATTCTCATGTCCGCTAATGGCTTTGCAACCCTCTGGGTTCATTGGCCTTTGTCCTTCTGGGTGCCACCTTGCTCTCAATTTGAAAGGCTTGGGACCAACTCTGGCCCCACTGGGTGCCATAGACACTGCCCCCCCCCCCGTTCCCATGTGGCCCCTCCCATCTGAAGTGTTGCATGCTTAAGGATTCCAAATGACGAAGAAAAAAAATTTAAAGCCTGTCATTCATCCCATTCACACCGGAAGACTGAATTTTAGTATAGGTGTGAACAGTGAGTACCGGTTTAAAGATTTCACTTCATTTGTGTTATTTTTAATTAAGGAATTTGATGTTCTCCTGTTACTACTAACTAGTTTTAAATATTGGGTATGGTCTCCATTTTAATACCTGCTCTGCGTTTTCACACCTGGTCCACTGGGACGTGTAAACTCTGACTTGTCAAAGTTTATGCTGTGTGAAATAGTACTTCATGTATTTAAAAATGAATAAATAAAGGCATGAGAGATGCCAGCGTGTCGAAGCAGCCCTCCTCAGCCTCCAGAGGGTCTCCACTCAGGAAGAAGCCTGAGAAAGCATCCCCTCCCCCAACACCAGCGACGCAGGCGAAAAAGCCACCTTTTGTTTCTAAAAAATAGTGATCGGGCCAGAGTGATAGTACAGCGAGGAGGGTGTTTGCCTTGCGCTGAGGCTGACCCGGGTTCAATCCCCGACATCCCATATGTCAACATCCCGAGCACTGCCAGGAGTAACCCCTGAGCATCGCCAGCTGTGACCCCAAAATAAGCAAAAAAATAAAACTGGGCTGGAGCGATAGCACAGTGGTAGGGCGTTTGCCTTGCACGCAGCCAACATGGCCGACCCCAGTTCGATTCCTCCGCCCCTCTCGGAGAGCCCGGCAAGCTACCGAGAGTATCTCACCCACACGGCAGAGCCTGGCAAGCTCCCCGTGACGTATTCAGTATGCCAAACACAGTAACAACAAAAGTCTTCAATGGAGACGTTACTGGGCCCGCTCAAGCAAATCGATGAACAACGGGAGTGCCTTTACCTTTTTTAGTGATCTCCATCTCAGTGACCCAGGATGTGCCTCGAATTTCTGAGGCCCTGGGTCTGACCCAGGCTCAAATTTAAAATATATAAAATAAATAAATAACACAGATCTGCAGAGAGATGAGGGAAGAACAAATTTAAAAACAGGGGCTGGAGTGATAACACAACGGGTAGGGCATTTGCCTTGCACGTGGTTGACCCGGGTACAATTCCCAGCATCCCATATTGTCCCCGAGCACCACCAGGAGTAATTCCTGAGTGCAGAACCAGGAGTAACCCCTGTGCATCACCGGTGTGACCCCCCCAAAAATATCCAAAGGTCCAGGTAAGAGAGATAATTGAACAGAAAAGAACTTAGAACAGCTCATCTGCTTGGTGTCCTTGTAAACATTAAGGAGTGTCTCCATTAGTAAAAGAATCAGGCTCTCTGGGAACAAAACACTTGGCAATGAAGAAAATCAAAAGCTCAGTGGAACTAGAAGAGAACTCTTAAATTTCCCAGATCAGGACCTGGAACAGTAGTACAGTGGGGAGGGCATTTGCTGAGCACACAGCCAACCCAGGTTCAATCCCCAGCATCCCATGTCGTCCCCCAAGCACTGCCAGGAGTAATACCTGAGTGCAGAGCCAGAGGTAACCCCTAAGCATCACTGGGTATGCCCCCCCCCCAAAAAAATTTCCCATATCAAAAAGATTAAGATAAATTTTATAAAATTTGGAGGGAAGGGGCAGTTGGACCATACCCTGTGGTTCTCAGGGCTTACCCTTTGTTCTGTGCTCAGGGATCACCCTCTGGGGTCCTGGGGATTGAACTTGGGTCAGCCGCGTGCAAGGCAAATGCCCCTGTACTATCTCTGCAGCCCATAAAATGTGCTTTTAAAGAGTAAATAATATCCATCTGAAAGGTTTGACCAGTATGAATCACAGAAAACAATGGAAAAGAAAGGCAGGGAGTGAGGTGTGGGTATTTAAAAAGTTAGGATTGAGAAAATGTGTTTACATTACGATGGAAAAAATAAAAATTAGGGGCTGGAGAGATAGAACAGTGGGTAAGGCGTTTGCCTTGCACGCGGCAGACCCGGGTTCGATTCCCAGCATCCCATATGGTCCCCTAAGCACCTCCAGGAGTAACTCCTGAGTGCAAAGCCAGGAGTAACCCCCATGCATCGCCAGGTGTGACCCAAAAAGCAAAAAAAATAAAATAAAAATTAAAAAGTCATACCTGGGTAAATTCTTGCAGAATTTGAGTACAGATATTTAAAAAAAAAAAACTAGAGATGGGTGCATGAGGGGGAACACCATTTGCAATGGACTAAAGATGAGTGAAACATCAACTTCTGATCCATCACGCTGGATTCTGAGGGGTTTTCTCAAAGATTTAGAGACCGTTATGTTTCCCGTTGGAACTGTGCATGCAAGAGAAACTAGGTAGAGGAGTACTTTCCACATGCCCTTTCAGAAGAAACAACTTAAGAATATATTCAAGAAAAACCATGGAGAAAACCCAGAGGGAGAGAGAGGGGGAGATTAGGGACCTAGGAAATAGTGGATGTAACCCAAAAATGCAGTGAACAGAGGTCTGAGGGTGCAACCAGCCTGTGAAACAGAGCTAAGATGACCCAGTCCACCATGAAACAGGATGTACATCTTCAAAACAGATGAAGGGGGTGACATTGATTCTAACAGAGGACCCTTCTTGCAGACCAGAGAGAAGAAAGTGATTGGTAAACTCCAGCCAAAATACAAACCTTTCGGGGCCAGTGTGATAGTTCGGTGGGGAGGATGCTTTCCTTGCACACAGACACCCCCAGTTCGATCCCCAGCATCTCAAATGGTCCCCCAAGCACTGCTAGGAGTAATTCCTGAGTGTAGAGCCAGAAGTGACACCTGAGCATCACCAGGTGTACCACCCCACACACACTCCACCAAAAAAACAACCTTTATTGACAGGCCTTATCCCTAGATGAACCAAAATCTTGTGTCACTTTTGGTGTGCTGGAGTATAGGAAAGAATATGACCTTAAGAGTAGGGATTGTACCCTCCACGTAGCTCTGGAGTTAGAACAGTAGCACGCGGCTGACCTGGGTTCGATTCCCAGCATCCCATATGATGCCCCGCGCACCGCCAGGAGTAATCCCTGAGTGCATGAGCCAGGAGTAACCCCTGTGCGTTGCCGGGTGTGACCCAAAAGCAATAAATAAATAAATAAATAAATAAATCAACATACAGTGTATCTCACTGTAGCTCAATTTAAAAATAAAATAAAATAAAATCAACGTACGGACAGAACATTCATTCATTCATTCATCATCCTGTTAATCGTCGATTGCCTCGAGCAGGCCCCAGTAACGTCTCTTTCATCCTAGCCCTGAGATTATATTCAAGGCTTTTTAGGAGAATGAGACCCATCATTGTTACTGGTATTTGGCATATTTGGTGCGCCACGGGGAGTTTGCCAGACTCTGCCCTGTGGGCAGGCTATATTCGATAGCCTGCAAGGACAGAACACTAAAGTGCAATTATATTCCCAAATGCACAAACCAGATGATCTGCCTTGACAATGGAAAAGTGAGGCTAGAGCAGAGTAGATTGGAGAGGACAGGAGAGAAGAGAGAGATTAAGGACACAACACCCTATCTTCTGCATTGGGGTTATACTGTTTTAACTGCAGTGGCCAAAGCTAATGGAATTGAAAACAGAGGGAGAGGGATTCAGATAGATGAAAAATACAAAGCTCTGGAGAAACAGGAAGTTTACCGTGAGTGAAACCCAGATCTGTTTGACTGCTCAGTCCAAAATATTGTCTAAAGTTGACAAAGCAGTGCCTAAAAGTAAAAGAATGCTATTTAGCGTGTCGGAAGCAATCACCAGAATTGTTCGAAAGAGAAGTTAAGTGACCGACGGGAAAAGGGCCGTATTTTATTCCGTCCGATGAATGACATGATTTGTACGCTGTTGTTGGATCAGACAGCTCCTCCTTGGAGCTTTCATACGGAAGGCGTCTTGGTTCTGACAGCTGTTGGGTTGATAAGCGCCCCAGAAATTGGCCATCAGACCACACTTCACACAGCGGAAGTTGGGTGGGGCCCCGGGACCCATCGTGAGTCTCATATTTTGTAACTGGAAGGTAATGTTTTCAAGACTTCCTTTTCCTCCCTGAGACGCGGGTCCGGCAGACATTCACCGAATGCCGATGAGCTGATTTGACTCCTTTCTCTCGCTCTTTGATCACAGCGTGTGTTCGTGTGGGACTTGGATGAGACCATAATTATTTTTCACTCCTTACTCACGGGGACGTTTGCATCCAGATATGGGAAGGTAAGGAACTATTTTTTTCTCTTTTTTTTTTTTTCGCCTACATCAAAAATCCATCCAGCTAGTTTCTGTGTCGGGGGCAGTGATGAGGGGCTTCGCCAACAAAAGCTGCCCTTTTGGATCAGCCTGGGCCTGAGAACCCCTCTGGAATTTTCCCTTGACATGTGAAAAGTTAATTAGCTATTGTCTGCCGTTGTCTCTCTGGCCTTCGCTTCCAACTCTCGAAGCGCTGACCATCCCCCGACATCTAGTCTCCGTCCATCTCTCTCCTCAGAGGGTAGAAAATCTGCAGCCAAAAACAGTAATCCTAGTTTTAAAAAACGAGGTAAAGTACTTTTCTGATCCCCTGTTGGTTATCTTAGTATCTCCGGCAGATGAGTGTAATGTTCCTCCCTTTTTCTGAGACAGACAGAGGGGTGGAGGCATTTTTTAAGTTCCAAATTGGATCTTTGCAACGAAAAACTTTTGCCAATGGACATCCAGACAGGCTGGAGGGTGGAGGAAGGGAAATTGTAGAGTTAAGGTTCTCAATAAATCTATCACCTGGTGGATGGTGAGGGGAAGAGGTGTTGGAACTACTGCAACAACCTAAATAGGAATCCTGTTGCTTGGGGAAGTTTTTTGTGTGTTTGTTTTTTTTTGGTTTTGGTTTTGGGTTTTTTTTTGTTTTGTTTTTTGGGGGGTTTTGTTTTTGTTTTTGTTTTGTTTTTTGTTTTTTGGGTCACACCCGGCGATCCTCAGGAGTTACTCCTGAAATTACTCCTGGCATTGCTTGGAGGGCCATATGGGATGCCGAGGATTGAACCCGGGTCGGCCACATGCAAGACAAACCACCCTACGTGCTGTACTATCACTCCAGCCCCTTTGTTTGTTTTTTTTTCCCCTGTGGGGCCACACCCTGTAATGCTCAGGGCTTACTCCTGGCTCTGTGCTCAGGGATCACTCCAGGCTCATGGGATCAGCTGAGGGTGCCTGGGATTGAACCCGGGTCCACTTTGTGCAAGGCTAAACACCGTATCTGCCGTGCTTATTGCCCAAGTTCCCAAGTCCCCTCTGTTAAAACCCAAAGACCTGTGACTTCCCAGCCAAGTATAGAGGGGGTATCAGGCATCAGCGATGTCTTCAGGTGGGGTGGGTAGATCAGGTTCGGGCAGGGATATTAGGACAGGTGCGTTCCTGGCTTCTTGGAGGGAAGCCCCCAACCTTCGAAGCCAGGGGGAGGAGCCATAATATGAGTTACTTCAGCGCCTGGAAAATATTTCTGTTTCTGTTTCTGTTTAGAGAGCAGGGCTGTGACTTGACATCACCTCATAGCTTTCCCAGCTGCTGCTGTTTTTCTACAGGGCTTCTAACAAGCTGGGTGTGTAATTAGCAAGATAGATTTATCGTCTTGCCATTATGTTGTAAAGGATATAAAAATGGTGTTGGTGGTGCAGAAATCTCTTCCTGGTCTGGAATGCTGTTAATATGTCTAGCAGTGCCCGGATTAATCCCTCCTGCCTGGGTGGACGGTGCAGGGACAGAGCCTGGGGCTGCTGCGAAAATTTAGCTGTCGTGGCAGCTGTGAAGAGAGCTGGGCTGTCCAGGAGGGGCTAGGTCGTGAGTTCCCCCTAAGGTCTACCCCGATTTGGGGGTTATCTGACTGCCCTGGAAAGCTCAGAAATACATTTTTTTCAGAAATACTCGTTCCCTTCTGTGCTCTCTAGAGAGGGTTTGCACTCGAGTTGACTGTTCCATGCAGGGATCAGGTCCCTGTGGGTTGGGTGGGGCTTTGTGATGGGGAGATGATGGACCAGCCTCCAGAAACTGAGCTCTCGGTGACTCTAGGGAAACGACTGAGCCCAGAGCTCCTTCCTGGGCCCCCTGACACCTGCTCCTGTCTTTCCCCTCCCCAACTCTACCGTGGAATCCAGCCACCCTCACCTCCAGCACGGACCCCCATCCGGGCAGCCGGCTTCCGCCTGGTCCTTTACAGGACCCCTTTACAGAGGAATTATCCTGAACCGTAGGTCAGTCTGATGAGAAACTGCCAGTGGCTTTCCTATGGATGACAGCAAAGCTCAGTCTCCAAAGCCCTTGATGAGCTGCTCCGGTCCCTCTTTCCCCGGAGATGCTGTGTCTTCTCTGACCCGCCAGGGCCTCTTCGGTCCAGGCTGAGTTTCTCTAAGAAGCGGAGCCTGAGAGAAGGATTAAGTACCATTGGTATCTTGGAGGTTGATCTTGGGAATCGCTGGGTCAGGATGGGGAAGTTAGACAGGGACGGGAAGAAATCAAATATAAACTGCTGGGAAATCTGGAGCTAAGTCCCACAAGGGACCCCAAGATAATAGAATACACCTGAGTTCGCCCAACCAAGAAAGAAGGGTGCTAGATTGTTTACCTACAGGAGCACGTCTTTAAGGGCTTCCCCCAGGGGTTTTATCTCCGGCCCTCTTGCCCTACCCACTTCCAAAAGCTTTCGGGCATGATGACTGGTTAAAGAAACTTTGGTACATCTACACAATGGAGTACTACAGTAGCTGTTAGAAAAGATGAAGTCATGAAATTTACATACAAGTGGTACTACATGGAAAATATCATGCTAAGTGAAATGAGTCAGAAAGAGCGGGATAGACACAGAAAGATTGCATTCATCTGGGGAACATAAAGTAACAAAATAGGAGACTAACACCCAAGAATAGGCGGGATAAGTACCAGGAGGTTTACTCCATGGCTTGGAGGCCAGCCACACAAGCTAGGGGGAAAGGCAGCTCAGATAGAGGAGGGAGCACCAAATAAAGGGTGTTGGGAGGATCCTCCCAGGATGGGAGTTGCGTGCTGAAAGTAGACTATAGACTGAACATGATTCCACTGCCACTCAATGCCTCTTTTGCAAACCACAGCACCCAAAAGGAGAGAGAGAGCAAAAGGGAATGTCCTGCCATAGAGGCAGAGTGGGATGGGGGGTGGGATGGGGGGTGGAAGAGATACTGGGATCAGTGGTGGTGGAGAATGGGCACTGGTGGAGGGATGGGTACTCGATCATTGTATAACTGAAACCCAAGCACAAAAACTTGTAAGTCTACAACTGTACCTCATGGTGTTTCACTAAATAAAAAATTAAAAAAAAAACTTTCGGGCATGAAATCATGGAAGATCAAGCGATATTAGTAGAAAGCCTAGACATGAATAGGAATAGTAAGAGCTGAGGCAATGAGAGGGGCATCCTGCAAATATCTGCTGTATTCTAGAATGTTCTAGAAAGTTCTCTGGAATCTTGGGGAAGGAGAAGTCACACTCAGTGATGCTCAGGAGTTGGTTACTCCTGCTCTGCACTCAGGAATTACTCCTGGTGGTGCTCAGGGGACCAAATGGGATGCTGGAGATTGAAACCTTGATCATGTCCTGTCAGCTCTTTAGAACTGGGTCACTCTGTGCAAGGCAGGTGCCCTACCCACTGTACTATCTCTTCAGCCCCTAGAAAGTTCTCTAAGTTTACTCCTATATTCCTTTAAAAGTAGCTTCCCCAGCCAATACCTTCTTAACCACTTCCCTCCATAATTATGCACTTATTATCTGCCTGCTAGAATAACATGTGGCATGAGGACAGGGCCCAGAAGAGATTTTCTTAGTTCAGGCACAGTGCTCAAGGCAGGATTGCTCATAGATATTTACAGCATACCTGAATCAAGACAGTCCTCTTGAATGTCACTGCATGAAGACAAGCCCTTCGACGTTCATTTTATTCATTGTTTTACACCCCAGTGCATAAAACATTGTCCCTACTCAGTCGACATCAAATAAATATTTGTGAAAGGAAGGGGGAAAGTATGAAAACAATAAATTTCAGGGCCGGAGCGATAGTGTAGCGGATAGGGTGTTTACCTTGCACACGGTCGACCTGGGTTCAATTCCCAGCATCCCATAGGGTCCCCCCAGCACCGCCAGGAGTAATTCCTGAGTGCAGAGTCAGGAGTAACCCCTGAGCATCTCTGGGTATGAAGCAAAAAGAAAAAGGAAAAAAAAAGAAATTTCTCACAGGTAGCCACCAGCCAAATTTAACCTGCAGACATTTTTGTTCTAGGGTATCTAAAAATGTGCATCTAAAGCTAGTATTTCTACATCAAGAGAATTTAGGGATGGAGTGATAAGAAGGTAGGACGCTTGCCTTGCACGTGGCTGACCCACGTTCACCCCATATGGTCCCCCGAGCCCCCTGGGAGTAATCCCTGAGTGCAGAGTCAGGAGTCAGTGCCGAGCACAGCCAGATCCGGCCCCGAGACATAAAAATAAAATCATAAAAATAAAGAGAAGTTTAAACTTCTTGATTTTTAAATGCACAAACCAAGACGATCTAGATTTTTGTATTTCTTCTTCAAAAACTTAGAAATCTGGCAGTGGTGTGTTCCCCTGCGGCATCAGCCGTGGGGGCTGAAAAAAGATGCCACTTTTGGCGGGTCCAGCGAAAGGTGCCCTATCCAGCCGCCAGCCTATTTTAACACTGTCCTAGTTCCACTGGCATCTGAGTTTTAATGTCCATCCTAGAATTACGGAGCCTGGGGGGGGGGGGGGGTGAGTACTGGAAGGGCCTGGGGGACCTGTGCCTGGTTCACGCCCTGTCAGCCCTCTAGTTCTTGAGGAAGAACCGGGAGCCAGAGGAAGTGGGCATGTTTTGCACCATCTTTTTTTTTTCTTTTTGGGCCACACCCAGCAATGCTCAGGGGTTACTCCTGGCTCTGCACTCAGGAATCGCTCCTGATGGTGCTCAGGGGATCCTATGGGATGCGGGGAATCGAACCCAGGTTGGCCACGTGCAAGGCAAACACCCTACCCGCTGTACTATCGCTCCGGCCCCTTCTGCACCATCTTTACTTCTCTTCTAGAATGTTCTAGTCCTTCCTCTAGTTCTCCGCCAGGTGAGGAATGAGTACATCTTATTTGAGCCCAACTGCCAATATAAAAGAGACCCACCGTAACCAGGCTGGAACATGGTTATGCCTGTCTCCTGTTTATCCACGCACAGC